CCTAAAGCGCCCCGGATCCGAGCTCCTCTCTTCTGAGGGGCTCGTTCGGGTCTCCGCTCGCGCGGATTCCCTCCTCCACCGCGGGCGGGCGAGGCGCCCTCGGGAGCGACCCGAGGAAGCGTCCGCCATGCGCGGGAGCCAGACCGGAAGCCGCCAATATCCCTCTTATTGTTGACTGGTGACTCTTTACTACAATTGTAGTATATGTCAAAACCTTCCTTTTTCCTTATTTATTTATTTATTTATTTATTTATTAATTATATTTATATCCCGCCCATCCCGCGAACGGGCTCAGGGCGGCTGAGTAAGTGCAATATCAGAAAGCCAGAAAAATAGCCTTAAACGAAGAGAGGAATGCTAAAAGTACCATAATGCTCCTGGCTTCACTCCAGAGCCTTTTCTGATCTTCTGCTCCTTTTGTAAGTATTGTTGCAAGGTAACAGTAAACATGTTTGCCCTCTATACGCTTTAGCAGGTAACTCTGAAAAGTCATACCCTTTATTAATGCCATGAACATTTACTGTTACTCTGTCAGTACTTACCAAAGTAAATGAAGGCAGCAGAAATTTAGGTAAAGGTAAAGGTTCCCTTGCTCAAAAGCCAGTCGAATCCGACTCTAGGGTTGCGGTGCTCATCTCCGTTTCAAAGCCGAAGAGCCAGCGCTGTCCGAAGACGTTTCCGTGGTCATGTGGCCGGCATGACTAAACACCAAGGCACACGGAACGCTGTTACCTTCCCACCGAAGTGGTACCTATTTATCTACTTGCAATTTCTTGCTTTCGAACTGCTAGGTTGGCAGGAGCTGGAGCTAGAGATGGGCGCTCACTCCGTCATGCGGCACCCGGGTCTTGAACTGCTGAACTGCTGACCTTCCACAGCCTGCAGCTGTGGGTCAGTGGTAGAGCCTGCCATGGTGGGGAGGGCGGGATAGAAAATAAGTAAATAAATAAACACTTTGCATGCAGAAGGTCCCAGATTCAATCCCAGGATCTCCAGCTTTTGTAGAACAAGAGACCTGGCAGTAGGCGATGAGGAAGGAGTCTTACTGTGACCCTGGAGAGCTGCTGCCATTCTGAGTAGACAGTACTGACTTTGATGGACCCAGGGGGTCTGATTCTGTATAAGGCAGCTTCGTGTGATTCTCCATATCCCATTTCTATATTGCCTTACTCCTCTCCAGCTAAATAGCCAGGGCTATGTCAAGGTATTTAAGGTCCCTTTTAGTAACCTTACGCCAAACCCTTTTTTTATTCTGTACGTTCTAATTTTTATCTTGTATTATTTTAACCAGTTTTATGTCAGACATATATACTTTTACTCTCTGTGTTTTAACGCAGATCCTATTCTGCATTTTATAAATCTTTTGTATTGTACTGTACTTGTAACAGCCATTGGCCATATGCAATAAATCGAACTGAACTGAATATTGCCTTACTGTCTCCGAATGCAAATAGTTACATAACTACGAATTACGCTCTTATGGTCTGTTAAGCATAATCTGTAGAGTGCTTGCTTATATGGCCTTGACTCCATGTCTAGAGAATCATGTGCACTTCCATGCGCTAATGTCAAGAACTAAGCCAATTAGCTTCCGCTCCTGTTGTCTCCGGTGTCCTGCAAAATAACCCAGAGACACGTGTGTCTGTTTTTCTGGGACCCATCTTGATATACCTCTCTGTTCTGTTACAATTTGGATAGTATGAGGAGCATCTTGGAGGGCTCTTCGCAGGGGAAGTCCTGAGAATGGGCTCTTCTTCCCTGTTCACTAATGGTTGAAATTACTCCCAAGAAGGAAATTGCCTGCATTTTTCTGCTGCTCTACTTCTGTATCCCTTTGTCCCAAAGGCCTTGGTTCTGTATAAGCATCTTTATGTAAAGTTACAGCCTAGATTGCATTTAGTTGCTTTATTGTACTGACAGTGTCTAGGCAGTAACCTTAATAGTATCTCTGCCAGGGAAGCAGAGAAGGAAGTTCATTTCTGACTTCAGAAACTATGTTTTGTATATGGGTCATGAATCTTGTTCTGAATATGCTCTTAGTAAAGTAGCAAATGATGTTCCATAGACTTCTAATTCATCATGTATAACAGGATCACTAAAGTCCAGTTTGTTCAAACAGAAATCTAGAAGCTTCTAGAAGAGGTAAAAGTTTAGTGGGAGAGTGGAAATGAGCAGACTATTACTTCTGCACCTTTAATGGGAGAGGAACTATGGAACTTGCATATTCTTAGTAAATATTTTCCAAACACGTCCCGATCTATCAAAGATGCACTGATTGGCAAATTCATTTTGACATTGCTTTAATTTTTTCTTCTCTTTAGCCACCGTAATATAATGATGAGGCTGAACTTGCAGTTGACCATGGGTACCTTTTCTCTTTCGCTCTTTGGATTGATAGGAGTCGCTTTTGGAATGAACTTGGAATCCTCATTTGAAGAGGTAAGACATAGCTGGGGTGGGGGCTTTGTAGTAATTCATAAAAGAAAATGCTGCTGATTTTGCTTGTGATAGGATTCCAGTGGTGCATTCCTTAGGTGTGTCAGTGTAAAGTAAGAAGAGAAGCTAGTCCGGTGGCTTGAATTTCTGGTGTACCAGGTGGTCATCAGGGAGTGCTAAATCCCTAGGGTGTGATGGAAAAAAACTCATTTTAATCACTGTATGTAGCACGTGCAACATTTTACAATCTTGTACATATAATAGTTGCAGCAGTACTAAAGGAAGCTTATCGTTCAGTTTCACAGATGAGTGGCTTGGTTAAATCCTTACTAGGCTAAAGGATTACCCGAGATAAGAACACAAGCCTACATTGTGAACTGTGGCCTCCTTGGGAGGGGGGAAACAGGAGAAACCAACTTTTTCAGCTACTAAGAACAAGCCCCAGGCTAGTCGAGGAGGTTTTAGCTTCAGAAAGCTGGGATTATGGAAGAGACCAGGGAGAGGAGGATTCATATGATGATGTTTTCTGGGGCACTGCCTCATACCCTTTATCACCCCTTCACGCCTGGGTGGATAATAAAACAAGTTGGTGGCCAGTGGCTGCAGGTCTCATTGTTTATTTATTGTTTAGACTTTTAGGCCGTCCTTCCCTGCAAGTGGGGCTCAGGGCAGCTCGCAACAGAATAAAAACACACAATCCAAGTTAGATTAAGCCAACATTAAACAGTACAGAATCATAAATAAAAATTCCAAGATGGTGAATAATTTAAATAAAAACTGAACTAAGGGTAGGTAAGGTGGGGGGGGGGACCTGAGCGCACCAGACTACTTGCTGTCCCGCTGCTGTCCCCAGCCAAAAGCCTGGTGGAACATCTCTGCCTTACAAGCCTTTGCGTTCGCCCTCAGTTGAACAAGGGTGATTTCTAGGTAATAGCTTGCAGAGAGGTGAAAATAAGAGATGGTAATGGGAAGACTTGAAGATGCAATGTCTTCAAAAGAAAGACCAGCATCATTAAATATTTGCCTTCACACTACTAGGACAGAAGAATATTCTGGCTGGTGACAGGAATTATGTTCCTGGGCAGTGGCCTAATATGGCGGCGGCTGCTTTCATTCCTGGGACGGCATCTAGAACCTTCAGTACCTCCATCTGTGAGTATGACCTTGTGTCAAACCTTCTTTTCATCCTTCCCAAACACCCTGGCTCCTTGAGATCTTTCCTTCACAGGAACCACTGGAGTGAGGAGAATATGACAGTGTTCCCTTTGTCGTGATAAGGATAGTGCCTGATCTACACAAGTAGTGGTGGTGTTGAAGGACATTTGAAATGCATTCATGTGTGGCCTGAATTACATGGCAAGCCACTGATACGAAGCAGCTTCACTATGTGAACCTAGAAATCATAGACTCATAGAGTTGGGAGGGACCACCAGGGTCGTATAGCCCAACTCCCTGCACGATGCAGGAATTTCACCAATACTTCACCCCACACCCCAAGTGACCCTTGCTCCATGCCCAGAAGATGGCAAAAAATACTCCTCCAGAATCCCTAGCCAAATTGGCCTGGAGAACAAATGCTTCCTGACCTCAAAGTGGCAATCAGCATTTCCCTGGGTGTGTAAGAAAGGGCCACAAGAATTAAGCACTGATGCAACCCTTCCTGCCCTCCCTTCTCGTGATCTGCCTAAGTTCACAGAATCAGCATTGCTGTCAGATGGCCACCTAGCTTCTGTTTAAAAACCTCCGAAGAAGCCTGTTCCGCTGAGGAACCACTCTGTCAGGAAGTTCTTCCTCATGTTTAACTGAAAAGCCTTTTGATTTAATTTCAACCCATTGATTCTGGTCTGACCTTCTGGGGCAACAGAAAACAACTCCACATCATCCTCTATATGACAACCCTTCAAGTACTTGAAGATGGTTAACTTATATATCACCTCTCAGTCATCTCTCCAGGCTAAACATACCTGGCCATTTTCCTGTTGGGTGCTGCCCATAAAAGTCATTTTTGAAGGCACGCTCGCTCGCTCTCTGTCCCTGATTGCTGTCCGCTACTGTCTCCTGAGATTCATGCTTCGCCCAAGTAGCAGACAGATTTTCAAGTGATACTGTCAACTAGAAGGAGGGATTCCTGCTTTCATTGGTACAGTTCCTCTACTATAGGAGACAGAAGATACATTCTGCCCTAAATCTCTGAAAACTACTGAGTGAGCAGCCCAGAGCAGCCCAGAGATGGGTAATATGAGTAATATGAGTGAACTCCTCCCACAAGGGCCTCTATAAAAGCTCTGCTGTTGGAAGAGGACAAGAGGAGTTATCTATTCCATGATGCCCTAGTTCTCCAACTAAAAAGGGAAATTTTGAGCTGCAAGATAAAATCCCTATTCTTTTCAATGGACACGATTAGTCATAGACATGTGGGAAATTCCCGTTTCCTGTCAGTTTCAGTTAAATTATGGTATGTTTTCAAACTTTGTTGTATTAATTTGTGTGGGGCAAGAGCTGTACTTTTCTAGCACAGTCTAGACAAGTCAGGAGCTTACTGCTAATTCTTTTAGGGTCCTTAACTGGAGCACATGAAGTTTTGGAGGTCAGACCACCCTAAATCCTCTTAGGAGACGAATATATCTGTTAGCCGAATTGCTTTATCTACAGCAATTGGCAAATTTTATACTGGGTGCTTGCCAACTGTACCAAGGTCCAGTTCCCACCAACGGGTTACCAGAGAAGGAGTTTGAGGCTGGCATAGTTAAAATAACTGTCTTTTACTTAAGAATATAAATCACATACAAACAATACTGATGCTCTCACACATTCAATCAAGTTCCTTAGAAATACAGTATTAAATGGAGCACATTTGCATTAGCAGGTAGGGTGATGGTGGGTGATACTTATCTGTCCTGAAGCGTGTTCGTTCCAATGGAGAATGGATGGGAAGAAATATAAATCTAGGGAAGTTTAACACACAGCTAGAACCAGCCAGCACATGTGCGTCTCTTGACTGCAGATCAAGAGATCAAGTTAGAGGCAAGGGTTTGGATATAGTAAGCTGGACAAAAAGAGAGTTGAAAGCAGATAGGGATCGTTGCGGGGGTTGCTAGCTAGCAAGGGCCAGTTTAATGGTCCTTACCTTTTATAGGTGGTCTTTTGGGTGGGTGGCGACTGTGCCACCTACCTATTAGTCCGTCCCATAAACAATCCTATTGGTTGCATGTAGTGAGGGGTGGACAATATTGTAACCTAAGACCTAACTCAGAGGATGGCATCTGGGCAAGTGTGAAAACTTGGTGTCAAGATGCTCCCTTGAAGTGCAGATGAAGCTTGGCCATTCCCTGGTCATCAAAGGTCCATCTGGCAGGAAATGCCAATGTAAAATAAAGCAGATATGTGGCATACGTGACAGTCAACAATTCAGCAATGGGGGCTGCTTCTTCTCAAGTTATTGTTTCACTGACAATAATGGAGATGTGTGCTTCCTCACCAGGCTGGTAGCTGTATAACTGAAACCTCACTCATGTGTAAGGCTTATGCAGGCACCGTCTCTGTGTTGCATCACAACAGGTGACTTGTACAGCTTTCTGAGCCTGTGTGTGTGTGCACAGTCCATTGTGTGTATAGCAGCAAATATAGTTCATAAAGCAAAATATCAATCTCATCCCTTAACATATCAATATAGTTGAAGCTCCATCTTGTTACTTTCATTTTTAGCAATAGTGCATTCTCTTCCAGCCCTCTGATAGGGGACTTACTTTACGGTCAGTCTCTTACCACAAATCTGTTGGTGACTGCTCTTCCTAACAATTGCCCTGCTTGATAAGCCATTGCATGTGAGCAGTGCGCTGTGTGGCGCCTTCGCATGGCTGCATTTCCAGTGCTTACCTTACACCTGCCACTGCTTGTTTTGTGCTGAGCTGGAGGAAGATACAGGAATTTCATTTTATGTATTACTGGCAAGCCACCATGTCATTTCTTTTTGCTACAGTAGAATTTTTAATGGTCTCAGTAGTGTGTTTCAGACTGTAAAGAACAAGTTTTGCCAAGCTTTGAATTGACTTCACTGCCTGGTAATAACACTTGACATTTACAGAGCAATTTCAGAACACTTCTCATACATTGCCGGCAGAGGTGAGACTTGAGATAGTGACCTTTGGGATCACAGCTCATTCATGTACCTGCCACATGAGAGTACTGTAGGTTACTAATCTCTGTCTCTTAATTCTTATTATGATGCTCATAGTATTATTTATGCTGAGAAAAAGAGGGGCAATTGTAACAAAATAATGGTAACTACCTTAAGACATAGATATAACTAAGTCCGTTCTACCAACATGGAGCAGTTAAGCAGCAATTCAGTTAATTTGACAAACCAGTTGAGAAGCAGCAACTCCCTGGACCTAGATTCCCCACTACTAGATTTCAGAGTTCCTTTTTTTGTGACTATAGTATGTTCTTGTATCTTTGTGTTTTTTGTTTTCTCCATAGATCCCTACTTTGCTGAAAAGAACTCATCTAACAAATGGGAAAGTAGAATTTAAACATGACTTCAAAACAGAATCCTTTGGGTCAAGCAGAAGCACAGTAACCACCCAATGATCATATCTGTTTTGGTGTTCCTTCATAACTTTAGACTCTTTCCTGTATTTTCATATAACGAAAGTATAGAAGTCTTTTAGAGTTGACTTGAGGATGCACCAAAGAAGTACAGCTAGAATAACCAAAATAGAAGAGTAGTCCTACAGAATATTTTTGCCACAGTAGGAAAAAAAGCAAGTGGGACCCATGCAGGCATAAAATTCAGACTTTTTTGGTTGATGCTTCCTGTATTTTGTTTTGAACTTCACGAAGGCAAGAAAGTGTTCCATTCATATTGTTTTTGGTAGTTTATCTTTACATAGGAAGTAGAGATGTTATTTTTTAAACTCTTGCTTATACTTGTTCAATGTATTTTCTCCTTCTCTATGTTGGAACAAAACACTTTCTCTTAGGGATAGGCCTTGGTGGTGGCCTTTCAGAGACTGGGAGTTACTACTTTTCCCTGGATGTTCAGGTTCATGGCCATAGAGGGCTTCTGTAGCCTTACCCCATCTTGGCATCACACAAGCATCAGGTCCAGGAAAGGTTGCTATGTGCATGTCACCAGCTGGCATGGGAATTGTGACCGGTGACCCCCAAGCCCAGCAATGTTGACATTCCGTCCATCTGCCGCCTGGTAAGGGAGGGCTGCATTCAGTCCCCTCCCTGTTCTTTTTTCCTTAACGCCTGATTGGTAAGGATTTTAACTACTATGGAAACACTGAAAATGCACTCCTTTGAACTGGGGCATAGCAGAAAACATGCTTTGGGTTCTTTTCCAATTTGCATTAAAGGCAAAATAACTGTGAATTGGGAGGGATGACAGAGTTCTGAATGACTGCACTCAAACAAGGTAACTGTTTATTACTTGTATTTACACATGAGAAAAACCAGCAGAAAATCTGATCAGCTTGTGATTTCAGACAAGGTAATACAGTCATTAATTGTTAACCTAAGTAATACAGACAGAATCTGAAAAACAGATTGACGTGCAAAGGAAAGTGACAGCATTTCATTAAGAGTAGAAGCTGTTTACAGGGAAATCCCCAATAGGTAGTAAGAATGTGCAACGACTTCTAAATCCTGCTGAGTTCATTGTACAGATTAGGAATCCTGCAGTGCTTTGTAAATCCAAACTCTTATCCTATCCATTTTCCTGCATCTTGAAATACATGAAGATTACCAGTGGGATAGACTATTGCCACCAAGGGCAGAGTGGTCATCACTTGCTCTCCTCCCTGTGGATTAGTTTATTGATGGTAGGTAGATTAGTTAAGTAACAGAAGTTAATAATAACTCTGGTATCTAATCTATTGACTTTAACATTGTGAACTGCTCTGACACTGCACAGTGGGGAAATGTGTGTTCTAAGGGCCCAAATAAATAAATGGTGACCTTGGCTGAGAAATGCCATTGCCTGTGTACTAATGATTTAGATTCTCATAGGATGGGAGGTATCTATTTGGCTGGTCAGCTGCCAGATTCTAGAGGGAGAGCATATTCTGTAGTCCTGTTCCCATCACTCCATAAGGCACACACACTGGTGATATTCATAAGTAATTAGTTTGCCATCACACAGGTGCTAATGCTTGGGCATGGACCATTGGGATCTAGATGAAGGGGTGGTTTGTTTTGGATCAGGATTGAAAAATCAGAAGGGTGGGGTGGGATATGTGTTATTACTATCAGAATTTATTTTCTGTGTTGCTCCATATTTTGAATGTTCTCCGCTGAATTAAATTACATTGTACTACATAATAAATATTTAAATTAAGACTCCATGTAAGTGTGGTGTGAATTTTCATGCAACAGATGAAAGCTACAAAACATTGGGGGGGGGAGATGCATTTCCACACAATTATTCTTTTTAACAGCTATTATGGGCATTTAAATTGAGTATTACTAACTTTCAGAGATGGATTGCAGCTTTCATTAATTAAAAAGTATTCTCAGTAATGTTATAATGATCTGCTGTTTTCAACAAGCTCACCTCCAAAAAAGCAGGAATTATATTGGATAGTTTGCTGAAAAGCAGACTTGACAGAACAACACAACCGTTTAAAAACTGTAGATAAAAAGCCTTCCACCAAGTCGGGCTTTTACTGAACTTCTTTCTGCAGCTATTACAACTTCATTCTGCAAAGACAGAAAACAGCTAGTAAATACTATAGAATTCCATTCCATCCATGGGAAAAATACATTGTTATTTTAAGGGTTTTTTTACAAGTTTCCTTTCATTGCCAAGATAAAAGAATTTCTGTTGCCTCTTTGGATCACCTGGGTATGCAAGCATTAATTGGAAAAAAATACTTCCAAATGTGCTATAGAGACAAAGCTTATATCTCTGACAAAATGTGAGTTTGTATCTGAGCAGAAATAAGTCTGATGCATGGCCACTGCTGTATTATTATCTCCTCTCTCTCTTGCATAACATTTAATAACAAAATGCATCTGTTCTCTTTTCCTGCCCTACAAGCAGCAGCCCATGAAATGTTATCAGGGCAGGGAAACTTACATTTTGAACCAATGAACTTAAAGGAATGATGTGAAAAGAGACTGGTTTTCAACTGCTTCTTACAGATTTTTCTGACTGCAAAATTTAGGCAATAAGCAGCCTTTCTTCCATTGGGTCTCTGCTAGTTTTATTCATTATGATATAATGAAACCAGTTGAGAATTGTTATAGAAAGCAGCTAGTTTCCAGCTTCTAGGTGAGCTTGTTTACCTTTTGTCCAGATTTTATTGTAATCACAGCACTCCCAAATCTTGATCTTTCCTGGAATTAAAAATTGGTTTGAGAAATATTCAAATGTTTTCATAGTTGCTATAAGACACCAAAAGGTCATCCAGTCAACCACCACCCTGTCCTGTCCAACAGTAGGCCAGCCAATCCAATCTTGATTGCAGCATATACAAGCAGAAGTGAGGTACCCTAAATAAGGGATGCTAACAACAAACCCTCCAGATTATTCAGGAGAAAGAGCAAAGCCACTTACTCTGAAGAACTGAACAGCTCAGGATCTATAGGCCATTTGACTAAGGTGGAAATTCTGTATTGATACTCAGAGCTTCCCCATGCTCTTGAAGTCTCGTCTTAAAACACACTTAAGAAGGATAAATCCCACCGAGTTCAGTAGACTGAATGGATTTAGTGCACATCTTTTGGGTAGCTACCTCTCCAACCCCCCAATATTTTGTTTCCCATTGCAATGAGTTGATATTAGAAAGAATGGGGGAGTGTGGAAACCCGTCAGAGATCAGTCAAAATCAAAACAATAGAAATCACATGATTTTTTTGTAAATTAATCCAGCAGTGGTGCCTTAACCTAGAAAGATTTGTTGCTGTAACACCACTGTAGAATTTGACAGTTTTAGTATTTGAAAATCTTCTAATGTCTAAAATAAGTGACTTAAAGGTATGGGGTTCTTCAGTCGAAATAGCACTTTGCACATTCAGAATCTGGTTACTCACCTCAGGTGAAATTAACACATATTTTGCCTGTGAAGGAAAAGGGGAGGGGGAGGCTCATATTGTTACGGTTACCATTTTTAAAATGCATACAGCAAATATTTTTCATAAGGCATGCACATTTTTAATGTAGCTGTATTTATATCCCATTTTTTTCTATCGCAGAACCCAGGGCAGCATACATTGGAGTCCCTAGCATACATTGGAGCAGACTAGACCCAGACTTGGCTATTTTTAGCAAGTGGCTCAGTCAGGTGCCCTCCAACCACACTCTGGGACCCTAACTGCATCTGGGCTTTGAAATGTAGAAAGTGGGGGACTGTGAGACTTGTGGGGGGATCCCCCCTCCTCCTGCTTGGTGGTGGGAGCTCCTGCCCCCTCCCCCGTTTTCAGTACTTCTGCCTCCACCTTTCTGGCTCACCTGGCAGGGTTAGTGGCCCCTTCCATTGCCTGCCTGACTCACACAGGGGCAGGAAGCAGCACCTCCTGACTCACACAGGGGCAGGAAGCAGCACCTCCTGCATACCTGCAACACATCCGTCTTTCCCTTCCTGGATCATGCAGTGGGAGCAGCTCCCACTCCTCCCCATCTTCCTCAAAATGGCAACTAAGACCTCACAACATAGTATAGTAAGATCTCGATCTTTCCCCCCAATGTTTTTGTATTTTTCTGCAAACCTTGGGGGGGGGGGTCCCTCAGGTCTGTAGAAAAATACCCCTTACCTTTACCTGGCCCTGTTGTTTTGGGTTTTTTAATTTATATTTATTTATTTAAAACATTTTATGCCACCTTTCCACCCAGTACAGGATCCCCAAGGCAGCAATCAATCACATATATTAAAACTAGTTTTAAAATACATAGTATATAAAAGATTAAGTTTTGGCCAGCACAAGGGCCCGGTTCAGAATATCAATTACTGATACTTTTGGTGTATCGACAATTAATTTAAAAAAAACTCACAGGCATGTATAAATGAACATTTGCTGTCTTTGCTCTGTTTTCTTACCCAATCCTCAGGGCAAGGGGAGGTCCATGATTTGCAGTGCTCAGTCACATTACCGGAAGTGGTCTGGTTACCACTATATATATAAACACGTTCAGCATGTCTTCCAAACATTCCAGCCATGATTCCTTCTGTCTGAAGAGGTGATGTTATAACGATTTCATCTGCAACCATTCATAATAGGCAATAAATAGGTCGCACAACTAACGAAAATTACTATGGATTGGATATATCAAATGCTTTGGTATAATCAACATATAGCCATGACAGACTAATTTAACACAGGCAAATACAAAACTAGCAAATCAGTATTTATTGAATATTGTTCTGAGTAACTCAAAACCATGTATCATCTGAAAATTAGGTGAGCATAACGGAAAGGATATTTTAATTTTTAAACAACATTCAGTGCAATTACTTATTAATACAGGTACACTTAAGGTACATAATGCCTTGGAAATAATAATACCTTAGGTTGTGTGTCCTTTGTAAAGTTAGCTCTTGTGCCATCCAGCTAATGTGAAAACATTATGCAGATCATAGTTACTTCTGCTATAAAAAGACAGGTTGCTTACTTGTAACTGGTGATCTTCGAGGGGTCATCTGTGCATTCACACCCTTGGGAATAGACTGCGCCTGCGCTGACCTTCGGTATCGTTAGCAAGCCAAAGGGATTTTCGCGCCCACTCCCAGGTCACGCGCCAGGCTCCACTGTGTGTGACCAAGGAGGGGCACGCAGATCCCGCCAGTTCCTTCTGACCACCGCCCAACAGCCTTCAAAGAACAAGATGAAGGGCCAAGAGCAGAGGGGAAGGAGGGCGGATGGTGTGAATGCACAGATGACCACTCGAAGATCACCAGTTACAGGTAAGCAACCTGTCTATCTTCTTCGTGGTCTCTGTGCATCACACCCTTTGGGAGACTAACAAGCAGTAAACGCTTACCTGGAGAAGCGGCCAAGGCCCTACATCTGTGCTGTCTAACACTGCTCGATCCACTGCTGTACGTCTACTGAGCTGTGTATCAAGGGTGTAATGCTTCACGAAAGTGAGGGGAGTAGCCCAAGTTGCAGCATTACAGATGTCTTCCAGAGATGCACCTCTTAGGAAAGCGGTAGACGTTGCCACTGCCTGCGTGGAATGAGCTCGAAGCAGTCCCGGGAGCGGCTTCCGTGCCAGAGTATAACACAGTTTGATAACCTCCACAATCCATTTGGACAAACGTTGTGAGGAAATTTTCTTCCCTTGGGAAGGTAAACTATGAGATATAAACAGTGCCGGAGACTTACGGAAAGGCTTGGTTCTGCCCAAATAAAATAAGAGCGCTCTCTTAACATCCAGGGAGTGCAGTCTGCGTTCTTCCTCATTGGAGGGAGATGGAAAAAACGTGGGGAGAACTATATCAGAACGTAAATGAAACTCCGACACAACTTTAGGCAAAAAGGAAATGTCCAGAGCCAACGAAACCTCTTGAGGGGAAAAACTCAAATATGGTGAGTCACATCTAAGTGTTTGCTCACTCTACGCGCAGAAGTAATGGCCACCAAAAATGCTGTTTTTAAAGATAACAACTTCAAACTACAGGTAGCCAAAGGTTCAAAAGGCCTACCCGTTAAAAAGGAGAGGACCAAAGCTAAATCCCACGCCGGAATGGGTTCACGGCGGGGAGGGTACATACGGATGAGACCCTTAGAGAACTTGTCTGTGGGTGGGAAAAAACTGAAAATCCATCTATAGATGGATGGTGCGCTGACACCGCAGCTAAATAAACTTTCACTGAAGAGAAACTGAGTCCCATGTCCATTCTAGACAAAATAAAACCAAAAATTGACCTCAAATCAGACGGGGGAGGAGGCAATTTGAGAGAGACCAAGTACGGCAGAAATTTGGTCCACTTCCCATCATACGAGGCTCTAGTGGAAGGTTGGCGACAATTGAGAAGAACCTCATCTATTCTGTCATGTATTACGGAAAGTGTATGTTCCACACTGTTAACTTGAAGCTCAGAGGATCGTGATGTAGAATCTGGTCCCTTTGAGCCAGAAGAAGATCTGGTACCCGAGGGAAATGAATGAAGCAACCCTTGGATAGCTGAAGTAGTAGAGGGAACCAACGTTGGCGAGGCCACCACGGGGTCACCAGAAGACAACGAGGTCTGTCCTGCTGGATCTTGACAAGGACCCGGTGAATGAGCGGAAGGGGAGGAAAAAGGAACACAAAATGAAGTGTTCAAGAAATCAAAAGGCCATCCCCCATGGACAGAGGGTCTATCCCTGCTCTTGAACAAAACTGACGGCATTTCGCATTGTGGCGAGTCGTGAAGGCATCTACTTCTGGATGACCCAACTGGTTGAAAATGGGCCAGAGGTACTTCCAGTTGAGTTCCCATTCGTGGTCCGTTGCTCCCCCTCTGCTTAAGAAGTCCACATGGACGTTCAGAATTCCCAGCAGATGGGCAGCCCGGATAACCAATTTCCATCGGAGGCAGTCCTCCCAGATGCTCAAGGCCGGCCAGCAAAGCGCTCTGGATACCGTTCCTCCTTGACGATTGATATAAGACATGGTGGTTGTGTTGTCTGTAAAAATCATGACCACATTCCCTGCTATGGCACGCTGAAACGACTGGAGGGCATAATGTACCGCCAACAGCTCCAGGTAATTGATATGGCGGTTTGTCAAGTGAGAGTCCCATTGTGCCCCTACACACATCCCCTTCATGTGAGCACCCCATCCCCATAGAGAGGCATCTGTGTGATCGATACTGTCGTAGCCGGAATTTGGAATGGAGCCCCTGCAAATAGATTGGTCTCGGAGAGCCACCATCGAAGAGAGTGGAGGACATGAGGAGGAACCACCATGGGCAGGTCCAGAGGATGACTCTGGGGACGGAATTTCTTTAGGAACCACAATTGTAACGGGCGCATGCGGAGACGTGCACACGTGAGCACCGATGTTGTGGCTGCCATGAGTCCCAACAACCATTGGATGCGGACTGCTGAGGTTTTGCTTGAGTGGAGTAACAGTTGAATCTCGTAACGGAGAGATTCCGCCCTCTGACAAGGCAAGTACGCCCGAGCGTCCATAGAATCGATGACAGCCCCAATTAATTGTACTCGAGTCGCAGACTGAAGCATGGACTTTTGAAGGTTTACAAGAACACCCAGAGATGCAAGAGTCGAAAGAGTAAGATCGATATGACGAAGGAGGACTTCTTTTGACTCCGCAACCAGCAACCAGTCGTCGATATATGGGAATACCTGAATTCCCTGGAGACGTAGATGTGCCACTATGACGACCATCACTTTCGTAAAGACCCTGGGGGAGGTAGAAAGCCCAAAGGGGAGGGCCTTGAATTGGTAATGTGCTTCCCCTACAGTGAATCTGAGGAAGCGCCTGTGGGAGGGGTGAATCGACACGTGGAAGTACGCATCCTTCAGATCTAAGGTGACCATCCAGGCTCCCGGTGACAGTAGTGGCAAGATGTTTTGAAGAGTGGTCATTCGAAATTTTTTGTGGATGATAAACTGATTTAGATTTCTGAGGTCCATGACTGGATGAAGGCCTCCGTCCTTCTTCGGGACCGTGAAGTACCAAGAGTAAAAACCTTGACGGTGAACAGAAGCTGGAATAGGTTCTATGGCATCCTTTGCGGTAAGAGATTGAACTTCTTGAAGCAGAACTGGTGATGCCGGGGTTTGAACGAAATGAGAGAAGTGAGAGATTTGAAAAAATTCGATGAGATAACCATCCTTGATGATGGAATGAAGCCATTTGTCCGTTGAGATCTTTTGCCAGGCGTCGAGGAATGGAACGAGACGAGTGGCTAGAATGGGGGAGGAGTCAAAGGCCCTGTTTAGGGTTCTTTGAAGCCTTCTGCTTGTATTGTACAGAGGGTGAGAATCTTGGCTTGTTTCCAAAGGAATGAGACTGAGAAGTAGGTGGTCTCTGCCACTGATTAGTGGGAGATTTGGAGGAAGATGGTCTGTGTGACCACGATTGCCTAGACCATTGTTTAGGCTTATTGAACTTTGATGATGGGGAGATCCCCAGGCTATGAGATGTTTTGATACTTTTGTCCAGTTCTTGGAGCACAGAATCAGTAGTGGAACTGAATAAGCCAGCACCCTCAAAGGGACCGAGGGTGTGGACCGAGTGTCATAAGGGAGTGACGAAGAGCGAAGCCAAGCATGTCTATGCAAGGCAACTGAAGTAGTGATAGTCTTGGCAGCTGACTCCAAAGTAGCGGCACTAATCTGATGCCTGGCAAGAACCATGCCCTCATTCTGAATCTTTTTCGCTTGGGAACCGAATTCCTTAGGAAGGTGTGATAAACACTCGGCCATACGTTTCCAAAGGTTGAATTGGTAACGTCCCATGCATGCAGCGTAATTGGATGTCTTTATGCCCATCGCTCCTACAGTGTAAAAAGTTTCTCCCCATTGAATCAATCTTTTTGCCTTCTTTTTCTGGCGGAATAGAACGACTCGATTTTCCTTTTGTGGATGAAGTCACCACAAGAGAGTTCGGTTTGGGGTGAGTAAACAAAAATTCAGCCCCCGTTTCTTGGATCTTATACATGTGGTCTAATCTCTTATTAGACACGGGTAATGAAGAAGGACGATCCCAAAGATCTTTCGTAGTTTGCAACATCACCTTGGTCATAGGTAATGTTACAGAGGATGAAGTGCTAGACTGCATGATGTCAAAAACATTATCATCAACCAATTGCGATATTAGGGTGGGAGTCATGGAGAGGTCTAATGCCACCCACTGAATAAAATCACCATACGACTTGACATCCTCTGAATGTGAAATAGGGAGATCAGCCTCAACATCCGGAGGTGGAGAAGGAAGGTCTGCATCATCCCCTTGATTAGAGAGTTCGTCTGAACTAGAGGAATCCTCAGAAGGTTCAGAAGAGGGAGCGGGCAAAATCGGTAGCGACAGTACATCAGTCGGTACCGACTGAATCGGGGGCAGGGCTGGGCACGACTTGTGCGTCGGCCTCGAAAACTTCGATCCTGATGCTGGGTCTCTATACTGAGATACTCTGGATGACACCAACTGACGATCCCACTCCATCGGCAGGGGAGGTGGGGGAGGAAGGGCCCATTGTGGGTATGGGTAGCTGCCATAAAGGTATCGCTATTGACGCTGATCCCAGGTTAAGGGAGGCGAAGGAGGCGGTCGGTGTCGATCGTCCATGCTGTGCAATGGCGATCCCGCAAGAGACTGATGGCCAGAGAGTTCAGCTTTTGACAACGGTGCCTGTTGGGTTAGATCCATATCCGGATCAGAGTCGACAGGCTGGTTGTGGTCCAGAGGACTGGAAAGTGGAGCATGACCTTGAGTAGTAGCAGACACCGTAGAGGCTACATGAAGAGACTTGGACTTAGAGCCCTTCTTAAGCTTTGTATGATTTTCTTTGGTGTCTTTGCCCTGCTTCCGGATCTTGGAAGGTACGGCATTATTTGACCCCTGCTTCCAGATCTTGGAAGGTACGGGGCTGTCGCAGGTCAATACCGACAGTTTCGGTGTCGATGCATCAATAGCGACCGTCGACGTTGAAGCTCCCAAAGTGGGGAGAGGGGCGTCTGAAGTCATAGTAGACATTGAAGCATGCCCGGACGTCTCCAAAGGAGAAGACGACTGTGGTGAAAGAGCCTTCTCCATGAGTGCCAAATGTAGCCGAGCAGCTCTATTTTTTCGTGTTTGGTTCGAAAATTTTTGGCAATGTCGGCACGAAGTAACACGGTGTGATTCCCCTAGGCACAATAAGCAGCGCGAGTGTCCGTCAGAGGGGGAAATCTTCAGTCCACAGGACTTACACCGTTTGAAGAAACCCCACCGCGCGGCCATAGGCCGGCGGAGAGAAAAACGATTCAAAGTTGAACCCGAAAGAAAAAATACTCTAAACTAAGAGAAAAATGAAAGGAAAAAAGGCTAACTAACGCAGTAAAAGACAAGGCTAGAAGTAAATACTTAACCGACCGAAGCAAGGCGTCCTACCAGCGCAGCGGTCAGAAAAGAACTGGCGGGATCTGCGTGCCCCTCCTTGATCATGCGCAGTGGAGCCTGGCACGTGACCTGGGAGTGGGCGCGAAAATCCTTTTGGCTTGCTAACGATACCGAAGAAGGTCAGCACAGGTGCAGTCTATTCCCAAGGGTGTGATGCACAGAGACCACGAAGAAGATCTGAACTGATTTTCACTCTAACATCTCATGAAATGAATTTCAAGAGAGAATGAGAGCCCTTTCTGGGCTCATTGAGAATATCCAGTGGTAGATTTTAATTGAACACTGGACTTTCAGTCTGATGCAACCCTGCTTTTTTCTGTCTACACCTCTGAACATTTCCCCAAATATTTTTATATCCCTGTTCCAGAAGAATGTTTCTTCAGGCAGAGGGATTTCCACCTACAGAATGCAACTTTTCACCTCCCCCTTCCTGTTGTAGCTGAAATGCTGCTCCTGAAATGCTTTGCCTCCAGGAGAAGCATTTCGGGGGGGGGGGTGGATTCAGGGCTGTAGTGGGGGCAGGGGGAAGTAAGAACATTGAATTCTGCAACTGAAAATCCTTTTTGTCCACAGAAATGTTCACACAGGAGGCAGGCTGGCTTTGTACAACCAATATCGATGGTGATACTCATCTAGATACCACTAAACTGACTGGATGCATCTTTTGATACACATATGCACCCCCCCCATCTGGGTCTACTAGATGATGCAAATGTTTAGACCTGAGTTGGGGCCAAAGTGTTTATCATAAAATAATTTTTCAGACACTTGAAATGTGGAACTCAGAACATACAGAGGCTATGTAATGTTATAGATTACAGACAGCAAGAATTTATATTTTTCTCCTGGTGAATGTGTTTTAATATGTGTATTTGAAAATATGCAAGTATTATTTTTTTAAAAAACTGGCAAGTATCCACCTAAAATACTTAAAAGATTTGTGATGCCAGTAATCCCCCCCCCCCGTATAGCCCCATATAAAACTTGAAAACTTGCACATAGTTGTGTCTTATTTTTGCCGGCCCTAGTAAAATTTATCACATGGCTTTTGCTTTTGTACAGGGCCTTGTACTTTTAGACCCTTCACAAATGAAATATGATAATAATTTTACCAAATCCATCACCGTCCAGGTCTCTCAGGTGTACGTCTTCTCCAAACCGTGAGAATCTCCTGTCCCCACTGAAAGTGCTGAGCAAAAGAGGCCTGGTACCATCTGTGATGGTACCATCTATCATTGCATACATTAAAGCAGCTCCTGTTTGGTGTTTCACTGAGGTTACAAATGCGAATTTAGATGAACTGTCTGAAAGAAAGCAGCCAAAGTGACAGGATCAGAGCACTCTTCCTGGGAGATGGTTATAACAACTAGTATTAATGGATGGGCACTGTCCATGGAAGAAGGTTGTAACCAGAATCAATAGCAGTCAGTGCTGGCTCTACCATCTGTAAGTGTGAAATAACACAATACGATGAACAGTTTTCATAACCGTAATCTTCAATTCTTACAGTGTTAATCCTCTCAGTTAACTTTCTCATTTCAGGGGAGGGATTATGGGATCCTTTCCAATTCTCCACAGTTCAGAACATAAAGGATGGTTCCCTGTTTACATGAGAAGGCAGCTATGGTCAAAATGTGCCAGCCATAGGTAAATTTAAAATGCTGGGACCTGTGTCATATTAGCAGAACAGAGGAAACTCCATGACTTCAGGAGTGGAAATAACAGGACAAACGACTTAACAAAAATGACTTGGTGGCATCAAGATCCTTCTGCTGTAGCAAAGTAAACCGTGCAAAAGTTCACAAACATTACTACTGATGACTAAGACTCTTTGCTTGATGGAGCTCAGTTTGTTGTGAACTTCAGAATTAAAAAAACCATTGCACAGAAACACGACCACGAATCCAGCAACACGTACCTTGTGTTGGTGCCCCAATTACCAACACATGCCTGGGGACTCCTTCAACAGAAATGAAACCTGTTGCCAAGGATGAGCCCAGTCTCCCCATTTCCTGTGCGTTTATTAAAAAAAAAAGTCAGCTCTATAAAGATGGATTCTTCCTCACGTATTATGTATCTCTAATTTCAAGGAATACCTACCTTGTCTCCAGTTAAAGTAAACCAGCTGTGTGTGTGCGGTAAGATATAGCCATACACTCTTCCAACAGCCTGCTTAGTATCCTGTGAGAGATAGCAACCTAAACTAAAGGATACAGTCAACATTTGAGAAACATCATGTTGATGGGCTTTTAACAAAACATACATTCCAAGTGATATCACCAAAGTAAAATACAGTTATTTCATTTCAGAGCCTCAGCTTTTAGAACATGTAGCTACTGCTAGTCATGCTTACAGACTTTGGCCTTGAGGAAGTTGCTGTGCCTCAAACATATGATGGAAAGAAAACATTTTGCAGAAGGGAAGGTACATGAGAATAGAACACAAAACTAGAGTTACTTGTCCTTACTGTTCAGGACCATTAGGACTGCATAAATAATTAATTAAAAGAAAATGAATGATACTTGTACAGAACATGCAAAAGTAACTGCAACAGGAATTATCTGTAGACTTCATAGAAAGACTGGAGAATGTGTTGCTAGGCCTTTTTTTAAAAAACACAATTTTATTAGGATATATTCAATTACATTCATTTTTAATTCAAACATTTCTACTTATCCAATATCCTACCCCCCTCCTTTTCCCCCACAAAAGGCGTCCCGCAGTGCTCCGACCTCCTGCACATTGCTTAAATGTTGTTCTACATATTCTTTCATATAGTTTCAATAGGTAACAATTACTTCCATATATTATCTCCTCATAGTCAATAATTGTCAAAACAAAATATAACATCTTTTAGTTCTCCGTTTTTTTCCAAATATTCTTTCAGATCTTTCCAGTCCTCAAAGAAATCTTCTGCTTCCATATCATTTAACTTCCGTGTCATCTTGTCCATTTCTACCATATGTAATAATTTTCTAATCCAGTCTTTCACCTCCGGGACTTGATCTTGTTTCCAACATTGAGCATAAGTCATTCTTGCTGCCGTGATCATATACATTTACTAGACATATTATTATTCATATTGGCAATCTTTTTTGGTGTCATATACCATCTGTACATCATCTTGTAACAGTTCTCTTTTAAATTAATACACGTCGAAATTTTAAGTGCTTTTTTCCACAAAAACTCCCAAGATGACAACATTATTTCTTTGTTCATATTAATTGCCCATTTTATCATTTGCTCTTTTACCATTACGTCTTCCGTGTACCATTTTAACAAAACCTTATACAATTTTGAAATTACTTTTTTGTCTCCCTCAAACCATATCTTTTCTATCTCATTTAATTTTTCTCTGAAACCAAAGGTTCATCATCGTGGCTTCTGTGCAGTCCCACATGGGATCTGCACAGGCGCAGGCCAGCCAACGGAGAGGAACTAGCAAGCTTCTTATAGGAACTTTTTAGACTCCCAAGAGTGCAGGCCCCCCTCCCACTCACTGTGACTTCGCGCCAAATCACGTGATGTGGGAGGAGCCAGCACTCGTCCCTCAGTTCTCTTTTTGCCGCCGGTGAGAGAGGACTTGAAAGTAATAGCTTCTTTGACGTCCTGTGAGGTAAATTTTTTCTGAGGTAAAATCCTCTGAATTCAGAGCCCTAATGCCGCTTTTCAAAAAGTGTGACCAGTGCGGAGCGAAAATGGCCCAAACAGATGAACACTCCTCCTGTCTCCTGTGCCTCGAGGAGGGCCATAATACCAGCAACTGCCGGGCTTGTCACAGCTTGACACCAAGGGCGAGAGAGACCAGAGCAGCGCGCCTTAAAGCCGCCCTCTGGGAACAAGCTCTTCGGGGCACCTTAGATGCTCCGTCAGAAAAAGCCCCTGAATCTGAAAAGCCTCCCTCGGTCCGCTCCGCGCCTACCCTGAATCCAGTGACTGACAAGGAATCCAGGGCGCTTTCTGAACCCCCGAGAAAAAAGTCCAAAAAGACTAAAAACTTGACTCTGGGTTCACCTCTAAATAATTCGAGGAATAAGCCTTCAACTTCTGCCAGAGGGCGGGTGGTCTCGCCCTCCCCAGTGCGAGAACCTCCTCGTTTGAAGCATCGCCCGCGTTCGCGGACGAGAAAGCAATCAGCACCGTCTGCTGCTGAAATTGTGCTGTCGCAA